AGGAGGCAACCCATTGCTTCTAATCAGATTTTTTGGACACTACGATTAACGATCGCTAGTGTTGGTAAACTAAAACATATGATATATCCGGGACGACGGAACCATGAGATCTTTATTGGGTTTACCTCGATTTTTCCTTACAACTGAGAATAAAAATACCTTAAATTATTCATCCTTAGTCGAGAGTTCTCTCTTATGCGTTAAGAGAGATAATTAACTATAAGTGCTTGCGCTCATGGGAAGTAAGGACCCATATCCTACTAAACCCTAACACTACACTCACAGAAAATCTGATTAATTATAATATGACTTAAGGGAAATTGAATCCTATGTCTGTAAAGAGTGATTCATGCTGATCATTGTTTTTCTTGAGCCAAAAATTATTTAGAAATTGTCATTTGAAATACCAACATTTATTCTTTTTAGTTTGTGGGCTCCAAAAATTCGGCCCCGACCTCCCCGTCGTGCTGTTTGCTTTTCTTTTTTTTTTGGCGAGGGGAGTTTTAATGGAATTAAGTTCCGGGGTAAATTTTGAAATGCAGATGAATTTGTAGATAAGAAACTACCCAGAGATTTCGCCCTCATTTTGCAAGGACTTTATAATCTGAGTTCTGGTTTCCTATAGGCGCAAGCCCCTATAGTTAATTACCCCTTCCGATCACGAGAGAACTTTCAATTAAGGCTAGTCATCGATCAGATACGTAAAGATATGTGTTATCTGGCATATAGTAGCGGCAATAAACATTGGTATTTGAAAATGTTGGATTTGGAAGGAGTACTCCACATTGGATTTTAGGTATTTTTATTAAGTTTAGGGATATATTTTGCAAGTTTAAGAGAAACTAGGGTTTAGTTTTTTTTTTTAATTTTTTTTTAGTGTATTTGATTTTTTGTTTTAGGAGACATAGTTACAGGTAAAGAAAAGACGAATACGTCATTGCGGAGGGACTCTTCTTGGAAGTATAGTGTATAAGTTGACATTGGCGGTGGAGAGAACAGCTATGTATATTTGAAATGTAATTTTTGCGATAAAGTGGTGAAGGAGTTGCACTTAAAGCGGATGGTGGGGGAATGGATGATAGATCCGATCAAGATCCCATGGTTCCGTCCTCCCGGGTCATCGTGGTCCCTGGTCTACTTAGTCAGAGGAGGTAGTCGACCCAACCTGACAGAAGGATCCTTGTCAGCAGCCATGAGTTGCTTCGTCCATGGGGACCTTGTAGACCTGGGTTGAATGTTTGTCTAAGGGTACAAATTTGAATCCACCTTAGCTAACAGAGGGCATTGTGCTCTATCGATCATATCCCAATGATTCATATCTCAAGGATTTGATGCCAATGAGGAGCGTATTGGCTCTGGCCATAACCGATATTTCGTGGTGCCATTTAGGGACAAAACCACTCTGTTCAGAGGGCCCCGGGTCATAACTGTTTATCCCGCGGTGTCATTTGACGGCAAACTGCCGGTTAGAGGACATGTACCATGTCCTTACTAGCAGGAGATTGTTTGAGAATGGATCATAGTGATATTTTCGACTAGGCATTTGGCTCTATGTGAGCTGAAGTAAATTTCTTTTGTCCACCCCGACAAACTGTTGCGGAGGGTGGATGGATTTTGCTCTAAGTGTTTAATGGATGCATTTATTTTTAAATATCTGGATTTGGAATGATCTTGGATTTTGGATAGTTTGGAGTTTTGGATTTTGAATGGGCCTTTGAGAGACATTTAAAAATATTTGGGAACCCCTCCGGTTGAGATTTACATTCAACACGGCCATCATCGGGGTATTCAGGGTCATTTCTCTATGTTGATTGAACCCTGTCAACTCGACCGGGCTGTTGATCGAGGATCGGGTTCCTCGTAGGCTTTGTACCTTTTGTTCATGAATTTTCTTTGTTGAAGGCCTTGAAGACCTAATATGAATGTATAAGATAAATATTCCGGTCGACTTCATGACCGCATATTTATCCAATGATTTGAACCTTGTCTACTCCTATTTACATGCTTAGGAGGATCGGGTTTCGTAGGCTTCGTGCCTTTTGTTTAGTGAATTCTTTTGATTATAGGCCTTTAAGGCCTAATATGAATGTATTAAAACGAATACACCGGTCGCCACAACCGTGTATTTGTAATGGTTTGAACCCTATCGACTCCTATTGATCTGTATAGGAGGATCGGGTATGAACTTGAATTCACTTGTTGACCCGCGCAGCATCTCTAGACGTCACGTGTGTACCAATAACACGCTCGCCGGGGCCTATGCGGGTTGAGATTGTATTTACCCCTTATGTACCTATGTGTATGCAAACTATGGTGCACATGTAGGGGTATTTTGAAATAATTGTAGTTGTGCAAATAACTACTATTTGGATGCACACAACTTTTCATTTGAGAGTTTATTCACGCCTTCTGTCTGCTAGTACGAATGTTGCAGATCCGGTGGCGGTGGTGGTCTTGATGTTAGGAGGTATCTCCTCATCTTGATGTTGACTCCCCTTTCTTATTCATCGGGGATGGTTTTTTCTTGAAGTCCGTGGCCCTTGCTTTGAAAGGGACTCTTTTCAGGATCATCAATGTAGTAGACTTGATATTTTTGATATTTGTGGATGCCAGAGTTATTTTCCTTCCTGAGTACAGGATCGATAAGGAATTTTGGAACACAAAGAAGTTTAATTTGAACTTGTTCAAACATCCCTTTCCTTCTGCCAGGGGGTGTCCTCTTTTATACACTGGGTTGCCCTTGTAGCCGACGCACTTGAAGATCTTGATCACCAATGTCGTAGGTGATATCCGTACTTGTGTCCACAGTGATTCATTGTACTTACAATACACTGTTGTTATCCACAAGTTTTCATTTGTAGGGGATGATGCATCTACTACGACCTTCCAGAAATGTTTGTAGAAGAGCCGTTGTCACCTTCACCATATCCACCTTTCACCAATCTCAGGTGGTCTTGATTGTACTTGTTTGTAGGGGACCCGTTGCATTCACTACGACCTCCTGGAAGTGTTCGTAGAAGAACCATTGTTCTTGCATCTTACGCATTTCACTAATCTCAGGTGGTTCGGTGATTGTATTTTCTTGTAAGTGCGGTCCTTTGATTGTTGGTCTCCTGTATTGCAATCTCAATCAACAGGCATTGTTGCTAGTGTTGGAGGTTTCAATAGTGCATGTACGGGGGACATCTATGCATTTCATTCTTGCAGGTACGATGCACCCGATCTCGTAGAGACTGTTGTAAGAGTCCACTACATTCTTTATTTGCATGCATTGAGGTCTTGTAGCTTGAGTTTCCTCGTGTGTGACCAATGTTTTGTTCTCTACATGTGTCTGAGTCCAAGTTCAGTTTCATTCAGACTTGAGTTCAAACTCAGTGTGAGTCTTTTACATTCATTCAAGTCTTCTACTGTCATGCTAAGTTCATCCGGATTTGAATCTAATGCTCGCAAATGCGAATTTCACTTGGTGTCGTACAGTTCAAGCTCAAATGCATAAGTTCTTGTTGTCCACATCTTGTTCTAGTTTTGAATTCAGAGTACAAGTTCAAGTCTTTGTTCAGGATCTTCTGAAATCCTTACAAGTTCAATTTCATATTCGTATTGACTTGATTTTGGTTTAAGTCTTCATTTTATTTTGATTAAATTCAAGCCTTTACTATCAGTCATTTGCACTTGGTCCACAAGTTCAAATATAAGTCCCTTGCTGTTCTTGCAAGTTCAAGTCCGAGTCCTCATAGTCATGTTGATTTTCAAGTTCTTAATGTATTTTGTTCAAGTATGGGTCCTCTGCATTGCTGCTTAAGTGAGGTCTTCAAATTGTTCAAGTCTTGTGTATTTCAGTGAAAATTTCGGCAGCACCCCGGCATATCTCCTATTTGGGGGAAATGTAAGGGAGTTGGGCCTTCCCACCACGCTACTCGAGTGTGTATGGTAGGTGTCCTTAGACATCACGGTCGTACAAATTTTCATCCCACCACGCTACAAGAGTGTGTTTGGGGCCTTCAGCAGTACCCATACGAGAACACCAGTAGCTCTCCCCACCACGCTACAAGAGCGTGTATAGGGCTTACCCACCTCGTCGTATACGTCGCATCGGGCTCCCTCCTATCGTGCTATCAGAGCACGTATAGGTGGTTCTCCGGTCCGCCGCAAACGTCGAGAATGGGATTTTAGAGATCATACCTTGCGTAGCAGTCGTTGGCGGTGTCGGTGTCGAGGTCGAGGACCATCCCCACCACGCTACAAGAGCGTGTATAGGGCTTACCCGCTTCGTCGTTCTTGTCGCACCGGATCCTCCCCCACCGTGCTACAAGAGCGCGTATAGGGGATCCACCGGTGCATCAAGCGCGTCGAGGGTGGGATTTAAGTTAGAAATGTATACCGTAGGGCCCGGCGGGAGTCGTCGGCGATTGAGGCTCGTGGACCGAGGTAGGAGGGGAGCGTGCATCTCTTTTTTTATTATTATTAATTATAATTAATATTAATTAATTATACTTAATTAACTTTTTTTTAAAATCCTTTGGCACGGCGGATTGACGGGATTTGGTCGGAGTAGCGCACGGGAGGTAGAAAGTTACCTTCACAAACAGCGAGCTCCCGTCCTAGCTTCTGATCCGACAGAAAGGAACGTCGACGAAGGAGCGGGGTCGGACAGCGTGCAACAGGGAGAAAGTTTCCTTCACAGCAGCGAGCTCCCAGTTGTTGCTTCCGATTTAAATGCCGTAACTTCCAATCCACGGGAAGGGAAAGTCGTCGAAGGCATCAAAGTTGAACAGCACCGGAGCAGGCAAAGAAGCGGAAGGGAGAAAGCTATTGTCACAGCGAGCTAGCTCCGGTCGTGGCCTCCGATCAAAGTGTTTAGCTTCCGATCCAACCTGGAATGGAACGTCGTCGATGGGGCAAGGTCTCGAGCAAGAGAGGGAGAGTGCGGGAGAGGGAAATCGAGGAAGGTCGGGAGAAAGCTAGGGCGCGCGAATGACGTGCTCGGTTTCATTTTAACGATGCAAGGATCGTGCGAGATCGTGCGTGAGGCGACATCGACGTGCGAGAGGCGTGCGACGTGGCCTTGGCAGGTAGCAGGTAAAAAAAATTTTTTTTTTCTCTTTTTTGTTTCGTTCAGCAGGTCAACATAGTTGTTTTACTTGATACAATATTAGGTTGTAGACATAGAGGATTTGGAATGTAGAACATGAAGAACCAGTTTAAGTGTATGGATTGCAATTCACGAGGAGAGAGGGAACTTGTTGTGTAAGTCTATGAGGTTGAATGATATGGAGCAAAAGTGGAGGCAGGAGAATTAAACACGGGCATTGTAGAGTTGGTGCATGCTATCAAAATGGCTTTCAAAACTCTATGCTTTGGGTATTTATAAGCGTTTATAATTGCTTCTTTTACTGAAATTGTTACTTGAAGGAATTAACATAAAATAGAGTTTAGGTTATCCATTTTGTCACTTTGGTGAGGAGGCTGTACAAATGCAAATATATATATATATATATCTTAATGGACCGATTGAGTGGTAATGGATAACTGGGTTGAGTTGAAACCAATATGTGTTTAACGCACTGGAGGTGCGCCTGCATTGTTCAAATCTTGTCTTTGAAGATGTGGATGACTTGCATGCTTGAAGCGTTCTTCATATATACCAAACATTTATTTTTTTTTTTGATGAACATGGTTGACTAACTTACTACTATGAGAACCTTTTCATCCTCAAACTATTGTACAGGAAGCCATTGCGTAATCTTGACATATCTAACGTTTGTCATTCTGTTATTAGCACAGGATACCGTTTATTCTTGTATAGGTGGCAACCAAGTTTGCAATAACATGGCATATCTAACAGCACATGAATCCTTAAGAAGGTTTGTACTCTGTAGAGTGCATAGCTCTTTGATGTATGAAGCTAGACAAGACTCACCACCTATATTTTTTAGCTCTTAAATGGTTTAACTATTTTTTTCCTTGATTTGGCATCTTGTTGGTGCTTCTGACGCCACAGATGGATATCATACTTTACAGAAATTATAATTTTTAATCTTTGAATTTTGGCTGTCATAAAAAATATTTTACAATATTCGTGTAGGCCTATAATAGTCTACTCAAAAGTGCAAGATGGCTAAATCTATAGTCCACTCTAAAGGGTGTTTTCATGCTATGGTGCAATGAACATAACATGGACATACTAATATAAGCAAGCTATGTTTTGATGTTCTGTGTCTTTTGTCCTTACAAGTGAATAGCTGCCCGTTGAAATTAAATTTTAATTAGCATCAATTTTATGGTACTGTAGCTCGAAGATTAGGAGGTATCACTGACAATGTTTGATATTCAATCTTTTTGGGAGAAGAATTATACTTACATTTTCTTGCATAAACTCATATATATTGGCTAATAAGATTATTTGTATGTCTATTTATACCCCATTATGTCCATACATTTCCATCATATAATGCATTTCTCCCTGCTCCTGGGTGTTTATGTATATGATGATGTGTTGCTTCACCTTCTATTATAATATTGAGATATCACTAAACTAATTAAAATTTGTTGAACACTTTTCCTCTTCTAATATGGTTTAGTTTAAGATGAAGGCATAAGGAAGGATCAAATATTAGTTTGAGAAATTGTTGAGTTAAGATTTGATGGAACATATTTACTTCGGGCAATAAAATGTATATTATCATAAAAATAATGTAGATTGATTCAACAATTTGTATTAAGTTAGCTTGAAGAGCGATGCGTTAAGGTAAAATTTTAAGTTTAGATGAGATATCTTGCCAGATTTAAAGACATATATTATGTGCTTAGTTTGCTTAATAGATGCTTTAAAAAGATTAAGAGGATGTAAAATCATTAGGGAGGAAAAATTTTGATTTTCATCTTTAATAATGAAGGTGATCTTCACAATTTTAATCTGTTTAGTGAATTAAGCTTTTATCTTATTATTAAGCTAATAGGGTGGTTAATAGAATATAGGCGTAGAAATCTCATCACTATAAACTAATTAATTCTATTTAGCTAAGTTTTTGACATGAAAATTATTGATTAAAGTTTTGAGACGATTGGCTTTTATTTTTTATTGATCCTATGAGTTTGAGCTGCGGAAATTATACATAGTTTTGAAATGATTTTTATTTTTTTATTGAATTTGAAAAGGCAGGTGATCTAGATTTGGCGGCTTTGAGGAAATAAACATTTTGTCATTGGGGTTTTGATCTTATAGATTGTGTATGTGATGCAGTCTCCTTTGTCATAGTTGTGCATTGACCACTGTTTTTTCAATCATAGTAGAATTACATTAACGATCAACATAGAGTTGCATCTTTTTGTATTGGCTTTGCAAGTTATTAGAAAAAATATTCAAGGTTGTATGCCTTAGTAAGTTATTTGTAAATTACATAATTTTGCTGGCAAGATATTTTATAAAGTGAAAAATGAGAACAAATGAATAAAACAATTATGAAGATAATGGTTGATTGAACAAACGACAATAATTTGATAAGTAGTTTTAACAAATGTGAGAATTATTATTACTAATCTATATTATTATTTAATCAAGTAATTTGTACATATGATAAGTTTAAGTATCTTGAATCTTATATGTTAAAAATAAGGATATACATATAGGAAGAATTTTTAGATTTAAAGTTGAATTTTTACATCGCCGAAATTCCTCAGAAGTATTACATATATAAGGGATTATCATGGAGACTTCAGTGGTAGATTTTCAAAATTGCAATTAGATATATCATGCTTTGTAGATCTGAGTATTAGGTAAGATATAAGTCATTAAAGTCAATTTGAGCGTTTAAGAAATGTGAATTTTATGGTAACTATGTGGTCGTTAGGATAGTAAGAAATAATTGTATTATAGGATTGATGGAGACACCTACTTAAGATCATTATCATCATAATCATCATTATTTTTAGGTTTATCCCAATTCTTTGGGGCCACTTTCATGAATCCATATTTTCAATTCATTCTTGCTTTATGCTTCATCAGGAGTTAAACTTATTATTCTCAAATTATTTTGAGTAGCTTTTAGTCATGTTATCTTAGGCCTATTCTTTTTCTTACTTAGTTCCTTGATACTAATTTATCTACCCTATTTAAGATGGAGAAATACTAAACTCAACAAAAAAAATATATGCAAAAACTCATGCTACATAAGCACTTGATGAGGTGGATTAGTAAAAAGTCTTCTCAATAAAAAATGGATGTCACCATCTCAAACTTGATTGATTCACCTATAACCAAATGATTTTTTGTGTAGATTTCCTTTTGGAGTGAAATATCTTTTTAATATAGAATGGTAATAAATTGACTTGATTTGTTTAGGTATGTAAAATAGAGGGCAAAAGATGCACTAAAAAGGTGAGTGAATAGAATTAGTATGAAAGGATTAAGAAGGAAAATTAGTTTGCAAATAGCACATTTCTAGAAGTTGCGATTAATAGAGTTATAACCTCATGTTGCAGTCACTTTCAAAAATTGGCTAGCACTTATAATGATGATGGTGACCCTTGCATTTCTTCATAGATGCACATATTAAGTTGACTTCCATATTATTTAAAAGGTTTGTGCATTATGAAAATCCTTGGATCGTAACTGAAAATGATGCAATGTTTTTCTCATCAGTTCCAAGACCGTACCTGCAATTTGAAGCACAGCTGGTAGCTGGGAAATCTTATACCCTTTCACCTATCAATTGCCCTCATCAATCTGCAGTTTCACAAATGCGTTCTACCATTTCTATTGAAAGGGAGAAACATGAAGCTGAGCTTAAGTATCCTAGAAGGCTGCAGAGATTAAATATATTTCCCTCCAATAAAGTTGAGGTACGTAACTGTGTTGCTGACATATGTTATGTTTATATCCTTAACTATTTTGGTGGTTGCCGTCTCTGTTATTTATGCTCTTACCAATGTTGGTGCTTATGTCTTCTTTTTTGCTATTAGCTAGTTGATTCAGAGATTATTAATGAAAAATCCAAGAACTATGTGATGTTAGTAGTCTTATAAAACTAACGTTCTTTTTCCAAGTATGATAAACATGAATTGGAGTTAGGAGTAGTCTGAACTTTTCTTTCACGTATGTAGCGTGAAGATGTTATGATAACAGTAAAAGGTGATTTTATGCTGCTGCGCTTTAGTTGTTGTTTGGGATGAAAGATACCATCCTTGTAAGAAAAAAGCAACTCATGTAGCACTTAACTGGAAATAATTGAGGAAGATAAAGACAGCCATAAACTGTTGGGATGAGTTTAACGATGATGATGATATAAGACACTACCCCTGAAATACAATGATGGTTTCTGCTATCACCTGCTAACTTTCCGTTTGTTAGCAACCTGCAAATCTTTTCTACTTTGACTTGGGCAATGTATTTAATCATTCCTCTCTTTAACATGCATTCCTTTGTTTTTGCAGGATATGCAGCCTATTGATCGTTTTGTTGTTGAAGAATATGTGCTTGATGTGCTTCTTTTCTTCAATGGCTGGTTTGTAAAACACATTTATTTGTAGAAAATGTTTTTAAGATTTTCAATTAATGTGCGTGCCAACTTGTTTAGCTGGTAAGTTTTTGCAAGTTGATGCCTCACATCTCTCAACTATTAAATTTTTGCTTCTGCACTCAATAGTCAGTGGAAAAAAAAAAAAGATTTCTTGTACTGCTTGATTCAGCTTTGTGTTAAAGTGCAAAGCACAAGGGTTCCTTTTTGTTTCAATGAGGAAAGCACAAAGTGAAGGACTTTTATTAACTAGAGCACTCATAACTTATATATCATGTATATGAATCACATCAAATAATAATTTCTTAAAAATATAATGATACATTCAATAATAATTGTAAAATATGTATTATTTAATAATGAATTAAAGCTTTGTTGACCTCTGTATATATTCTTGAATCAATTCGGGCAAACATGGCGTAAAGGATGACAGAATGACACGACATAGTGGGTAAGCATTTTGAAATGCCTCGTCTGTAACCAAAATCAATCAAACGTTCTCCGTTCATTAAACAAATTGCACCAACGCATTCAAAACATCGAATATACTTGAGAAAAACCACTCGCATGTAATTCGATTGAACAACGACTAGAATGATGATTGCTTGATATTATCTGAACATCGTCTGATTACGAAATGAATCACACCATCACATTCAAAACATTGAAATTTCCAAGTAAGGTCCTATCACATTTGATTCAGGTGAATGTGATCGAAAACAAACAGCTAAGGTTGCCACATTGCATAAAGTTGCTCAGTCATAAAATGAGCTATCATTTCTTTCGGATCGTTGAAATTATCGACAAATAGCAGTCATATTGTCAAGGTTGTCTTGCATTTCCAAACATGAAATTTGCTTGTGCACATGATAATGACACATAAATTGAGATGCGTGAATAACAAGAAAATTTCGCTAGAGGGGTTTTCATATATGTTGTCTATTTATTATAAATATTATATATATATATATTTAAAATTAAAAACAAAATCTTATTTAATCCTATCCTTACCAAACTTGCCTTCTTATCCCGCTGTCCACTTGAATATAAAATAATATAATAAAATCCTAATCTATGCAAAATTTGACTAAGCTTTTCTCATTCACGTACTCTCTCTCCCCCACCTCTTTGTTAACATGTGTGAAATGCGACGCCCCTTGTGCTCTTCCTCAACCATCAAATTCGATCCTGATCTTTTTAAAGAATGCCGTTTTCTCCTCCAGCCACCAAGCTCGATCCTGATGTTCTCTCTTTAATTCTCTCTTTCTCTTCTTCCTCTCTTGCTTTCTATATATCTCATTGTTTTTCTCTAGAGCTTTTCTCCCCTAATTTGTTTTCTCTCAAATTCCACTGTATGCTCTTTTCTCTCCAAATAGAGATAAAAAAAGTATAAAAAAAAATAAAGGAAAAAAAGAGAAGAAAAAGTTTTTATTTATAGGAACACGTTTGTAACAAATTGAATATTTGTCCTGAAAAGAGAAGAAAAAGTTTTGTGCTAAATATATCATTTGAATGCATTATTGTAGATTTAAGTGAAATCCAAAATTTTGCTGGATATGACCTTCTATTTAGAAATTCCTCTAAGGAATTATTTACGAACTTACTATTTGAAGTATGACTTTCGGTGCAACAGTAAACTATTCTCCGGATTGGTTAATCTTTCCCAATAAAATGCTTACTTCAAAATTGCAGGTGCCTTTAATCACTACATAATTGAAATTCCTGAGACATGCTATATTTTGAGCAGTATTTTAATTCTTTTATTTTCTTTAATCTGAGGCTCTATTTGTATGGAATGTGATGCCAAGTATGCAATGTCACTGTTTTGACATGTTTCTATAATGGTGCACTAATTCTAACAACTGTGTTTTGATAGACTAAAAATAAAATATTCCATTCTGGTGCGTATACATTTTCCCTTGATAAGTCTAATTTTTAAGTTAACTTGGTTATCTTTTTTTTTTGCATCTTTCCTGGAATGATTAGCCGCAAGGAATGTGCAACTTATTTGGTTGGACTGCCTGTACCCTTTCGCTATGAGTATCTGATGGCTGAGACAATTTTTTCACAGGTATTTCATTAGCCTTTTGAAGTTCTTATTTCAATGGCACCTAACAACCCGGCTTTTTATTCTTGTTACTTGCACAGCATACATCTCAGTAGATCAAATAAAATTACATGATTGATGAGGCATTAAATGTGCAAATTACAGATGGATAACAAAATTTATATTTCTTGGACCATCGAAAATTGATAGTCTTCTATAAACAGCTTGGTTTATAGTTACCAAGTAAATTCCTTGTTATTCTAGATATGAATGTGAATTCATACTTAACTGAGGCCCTAAATACCTTTCCTATCAGCAAATGAATTAATAAATGAAAATTCTATCTGCGGATTTCTTAAATGTTTATAAAGTCTTGTATCTTAAAATTGAACAGTTACTTCATAAAATATCTGGGAAAACCTACCCTAACCGAATTTCAGAAAGTAAATTTTACTAGGTGCTACTTAAAAAATTTCCCATGTGCATAGCTTACTGAATCTTTTCATATCATTTTTTATGGGGAAATTTATATTAATAGCTTCATTTTTCTTGCAGCTACTTTTGCTTCCCCAAGCTCCGTTTAAATCAATGTATTATACATTGGTGATCATTGACCTTTGCAAGGTAAAAATATGATATTATTTATTTAAAGATGATGATAATGATGATCCTTGTGAAACATATGCTCTCATTTTCTTATATACTTGAAACAATTTACATTTTCTTCAAAAAATTTCGGCTGTTAGTTATGCTAAGTCAAATATTTTTATGCATTTATTTAACACTTGCCTAATTTTTTCTATCCCATGTAGCTGTTAATGTAAGTAGCATGGTATTTTCCATCGATTCAATGGGTCTACTAGAAGAGATCAACTCCCTTGAAAGCGTAACACCAATGGCTAACCTATTGAAATATTTGATGTAATGATTGACATCTCACCCGTTAAGATTTTCAGCATTTCTTTTATTGTTTTTTTTTTTTGACCGGATGATTAACATAATTCTAGTTATAGTGACCATTTGAGTTGAACCTGCACATGGAGTTTGTGATTCTGAAGAAAATTTTTTAAAGTATAGAACAGTTGTTTTTTGAAATTTTCCTGCAGCAATTTGGTCCTGTTTTTCAAGGTCACAAAATGGTCCATGCATTATTAAATGATGGAATCAGGTCTTTAGTGATAATTTTACGTTACTTAAGGATAAAAGATTAAAATATCCATTAGTTTTGGCTCTTTATTGTGTTTTACAGTATCATCTAGGTTGTTTTCTATTATAAATTCTTATGTATTTCATCTTTGTGACATTGACATTAGTAAGCTAAAAAGTGGTTTGAGTTTGAAAAAAATAAACGAACTAATATTTTAGAAGACCAAGATTGTAAGGACTAAAATTTTAACTTTCTTGTTTCATTTAGTTAGTTTTTCAACCCTGGGAGGATCATATGATAAACTACAATTTGAATTCTTCAAAAATTCTAGAATTTGGGGGATTGATTAGGGTGAAGACGAATAAACTTAGATGAAGGGGATGGTTCATTTTCATTCATACCTAATACTTAAAAATTGGAGCTATCTAATTATTTATAATGACACAGACTACTGTTGACCTCTACAGGGAATAAAAAAAAAATCAAAATCGAAATAAAATCATACCTGCCCGAAATCCTGCTCAAATCCAGCTATATCACTGTTCATTCGGCTTTATCTCGGGATTTCTGCTCGAATCCCTCTTACACTGCTCGAGACGACACTTTGCGCATAGTTAAATAAAGAACGAATGCTTCTTCTCCCGCCTCTTGATCTCAAGCATCCGCCTCCATCGAATCCCAAACCTCAGCTCATCGCTGCTTCCAATCCCAAGCGGTCGCACCTCCACTGAAGACTACCGTTAATTTCAATATTCATTGCTTGCAGGTTTGAATGCGTTTGTTTATGTCTTGACGTTGATCGTAGAACATTGTTGCATTCATCATAGACTTCTATGCTTATCTGTAGATGCCCATTATACATTTTTTCTTCAAGAACAAGTTATTACCCTTGCACGAACATCACATGCATTTGTTGTCTTTTGCACGTCATTGATCTTCTACTTGCTTACTAGCATTGGATTAAAAATCTAGAATCTTGTCATTCAAGATTTTATATTTTTGACCTTGTTGTGCAATCATAGACCTAAGGGTCCCAAGTCCTTGTATTCATGGCTTTGTAATCAAACTATCCTTCTCATGATCTTCTTATCACTTACAAATAGGTTTATTGTGCAAGTTCATTGTCTTCAAAGATGATTCGCAAAGGTAACTTGCAATCTATATGATGGACTTGATATTGAATTCATCCATTTCTTCATCTAAATAAGGTGATCACCACAAGTTGCTTGTTATTGTTCAAATAAATTACCTCTCATTAGAACTTTGTAGAGATCGTTCAAATCAAGCATCTTATTGATCACCCATTTATGTTCAAGCTCAAGTTGTATTCATGCTCAATTTGGTTCCTTTGTGCCCAAGTCAAATTCAAGTATGAGCTCATTTCAATTTCATTTGCAACTTGAGTGAGTGAGGAAGAAGAGGGATCAATTGTATGTTATAATTATTATTAATAAAAAAATTATTAATAAAAATATTATTATTAATAATTATTAGAATTGATAATGATAATAATTATTATTATTAAAAGAAAAGCAGGAGACGTCAAAATTGCCAATTAAAGGAGATGAAGACAATGTCGGGTTGTTATGTCCCCCCAAGTCCTCAGCCGTTGATTATTAATCCGGTCGATTGGATTAAAAAGAGAAATGCCCTCCCCAACTTCCCCTCAGGGGCCCAATGTGGGTTTCTTTGAGATTTGGTAGAATTTTGGTGATAGGATTTTTTAATTGAGATTTTCTATCAATGTGGTCACCTTTGTTGTTCAAATCTTGTCCCTATTCTTTAACATATGAAGAATTCGGTATGAAATATGGTATTTACAACTTTTCCCTATAGGTAATGTAACTTGCTGGAAAGCTTGCATATATATTGATGAACTTGATATTGATAGAGAGGGCGTACAAATTTTCAACGGAAATGAATGATCATTTTAGGACAGTTGCATGCTTTTTAGAATTGGGTATGTTTAAATTCAATTTATTTTTTTCCATGCACCATTCTTATATTTTTAAAGTTTATGCATTTAATATGTTCGTTGGAGTAGATACAGACATTTTTTTAAGAGCTTGCTTAATTTTCAGTGCATTTGCACTCTTTCGAGTGAGATGGACTTAGATCCTTGATTTAGCGAGTACTTCATTGGCTACATAATAAGAAAACATGACTCATTTAACTTAAACGTAAACTACCCATTAAAATTATAAACTTTTTTAGTTAACTATTTTACATTAAAATTGTAGTTTCCATAAGGCTTAATGTTCAAGTTATAGTTATCCTTCTATAATTCGCCTTAAATTCGGAGTATGTCTTTTCAAGTACTTCTCTAAATTCAGTTGGTCTCTGTTTTTCTTTTTGAGGGGAAGGTATTAGTGTATTTCGATGTTATGTAGTAAAATTTTCAAAATGAAAATGCAATGTTGTTAGCCTATTGTAGGTTGGATTTTTTGTGACATAGTGTTTTAGTGTTTGGTTGGATGCATGCTATGCTATACAATATCTCATATTTTCTTAAATTGTTTGTTTCGTTAGATGGATATGCTTATAATTTAATTTTCTAGCTTAGAATGTCTTACGCAAGTGCTTGTCTTGTTCTGTCAAGGTAAAAAGAAAAATAAATTTTATTCTCTTTATTTCTTACCCTTATTCAACTTGCTAGGATCTATCATTTGCCTGCCAGTTACGTTTGATTGTTCTGGTTAAGGATGCTCACCTTAGAGTGCATACTTCCATGTACTGATATTTGATTTAATTTGAAGTGCCTGATTATTTGTGAATACATACATATTCCATTTTAATCCAACCAACCAGTTGTAGATGATATGAAGGATTAGAACAAGAAATGGATGAAGATTGACATGACAATCTATCCATGAGCTAAAGGAGTGCAGTTTGGCTAACTGTAGTAAGTTGGTTTGTGGAATCCTAAGCAAAGGGAAGGGCTTGGAGCGGATGTAGGCTGAGTGGGTGTCAAACCACGCAAAAACATCTTGTGTCCAACTTGATTTATAGATTAGTTTATACTTATTATTTATTTACTTAATCGTATGTTTGAAGGTTATTTGGTAATTCATATATTGTAATGCTTCGTGCAACTTTTTTTATTAAAGTTTTATAGTTTCTAATGTGCTTCGTGCAACTTTTCCCCAAGTGTTTCTCGAATAAAATAATTGGACTATCCTTTTTTAAAGTCTAGATAACTTTTGTTGTTTATTTTAATTCATAAAATATAATTACATGATTCAGTTAGATTTCCCAGTCTGAAGTAATTTAAATTCAATGTGATAGATTAAGTGTGGCTTGTATTTTCTTTTGTTACTCCGTAATCCAGACCTTTAGTTTCTATAGCTTCAACCATTGAATGTGGTTAGTTGAAAAGGATATGACCGGTGACATAGCTTCTATTTCGACTCCTTTGTTATCAAATATTTACAGGCACTTCCCGGAGCATTCCCTGCTGTTGTTGCTGGAGCCGTACGTGCTTTGTTTGAGAAAATTGCTGATTTAGATATGGAGTGCCGAACAAGGCTGATTCTATGGTTTTCTCACCATTTGTAAGCTTATTATGAGACAGTAGAGAGATTTTTATTCAGTTTTCTGCATTTTAAATTGAACTATAAAATCATGGAACATTTTCTTTCTTCTGATCAATTGTTTTAAACACTGAAATTTTCTAGTTTGTTTCTCTTATTTTACAACTGAAAGTTCTGATATTTAATATCCTAAAATTAGTAGATCCTCCAATAGGCATGAGTTGCATCATATATGTTCTAGATGAAAAACTTGTAGAGAATTGGTTGAGTGACTTATTTTTTATTATTTGTGTTGAATTTATTCAAGTTGCAAAACCTCTAGTAGGAAATATGTAACAATTAGGGAATGGAATAAATACAAATAATGATGTAGACACACAAGTAAGAAAACCAACACAAAGAGAATAATGGATAGAGCTTAAACTAAACTTTATTAAAATAAAAGTAAATAACTAAAACTTCAAAATCCAACAAGAAAACACTAAGGGATTTTAAGGAAATAAAGAAAAATAAAAGACGCTATCCTCAGACAACCGTCAGAGCGGGTTCCTCACATGCATCTAATTGTAGGGTAAATAAGAAAAGTGCATAAGACTAGCAAACCGATGGTCCACCACTGCAAGATTGTTCAATTTCTTCAACAAATGCTTCCAAATCAACCAAGACACGACACCCTATAGTTGCTTCACTTTGAGAAGAAGGATACAGATGGAGTGACACTTACGGAGAGACGAAAGAGGTTAGAAGCCGAGACGAAAGGTTGGAAAGAGCTCGCAAGACGGACAAAGCTCGCAAGCTTTTCCAATAACCCGCAGGTCAATAGCAATTTTGCTCACAATAATCAACTGATTTTCTTCACAATATCTTATCATATTTATAGGCAAGGTAGGGGAATGCCAAAAGCCACATAACATTAATTTCCACAAGAACCGAAGCACCATTAGCACAGAAATCCCCCCCAATCTTTTCGGAAAACATTCCAAACCCAGGAACCGAAGCAGCAGCCGCGGGAGACAAAGAGGCAGCACGGAACCAAGGAGCCACAGCCACGGGAATCATCCCAGACACAGAAAATACAACAGCCATCCGGAAACCCAAGAGGCAAAGCACGGAAAACAGTAACCCCATATTATTTCTTATGCATTAAACAAGCCACGGTTTCCCAAGAGACAAGAAGAAAGGGGAAGGGACAAGGCCACTCCAAAAGTAAATTCTTCATAATGAGATACCTTTAGAGAATTAATGAGCTACTAAACTCTAGCTCAAACAACTAATAGAACAAGCTCAACACCATATGCTTCAAAACGGCCAACCCGTGAACCATCAGCAGCCAAGGACCAATCGAGCCAGCAAACCAAAGGTCTACCAAGCCTTATGCACAACCTACCATGATCATTGGATGCTTTTCCATCATTGGATAGCTACAAAAAAAGAAAAGAGCATAAAATATACTATTGTTAAAAAAAAAATAAAAATTACAGAAACATTTGATAGCATCAAATAATCAGGATAATCTATGGATTGGTGAGGTGGCAAGAATAATCCCATCGATCTTTGTGATTGCATGAATTGAATAATGTGGGCGATGTTGGGCTTGGTGGTTCAGTGCTAGGGATTGGTTAAGTTGATGAGATTTTCGTAGGTTGAGATGCTTTCCTCACTGAGTAAATCTATAATTGTTGAGTAATAAGTGGTTATGATAAAAGCTTGATATGTGGAGTGGTTGGTTCTAGAGTGGAATTAGTTGGGGCGGGGATAAGGAAAAAAAATTTAGGAGAAATAATTCATTTGCAAACGATATTTTTTAAGTTATAGCAAAATAAAGATTTTTCTCATTAAAGGTGACATCAACAAACACATGCTTTTTTGGTGATTGGATGGTAGCATTTGTATCTTTTTTGAGTGAAAGTAACCAACAAAAACATATTTAATTGCTTTTGTTTTAAATTTTTCTGTATTTTGAGTTTGTGTATCAATAAAGATAACACTTTTAAGTATCTTGGGACCAAGAATATTTAAAATACTATAGTGAAAAAAAATGGCTAGGGCTTTGAATAATTGAAAAATTAGATTATTCAGGAATACACATTGAATGCTGAGATTTTGCATTGAATTTCTAGTAGCTCCTCTACAGTCTTGTTGTACACCAGAATGTCATAAAAAAAGACCAGGACAAACTTCTTGAGATGCTGCTTGAATACCCTGTTAATCAAAGACTGAAAAGTAGCGGGAGCGTTAGTCAATCCAAAGGGCATTACTAGATATTCATAATGCCCTTCATGTGTCCTGAAGGCTATCTTTGGAAATCTTCCTCCCTCATTCTGATCTGGTGGTATCCGGATTTTAAGTCAAACTTGGAAAACATCATTGCCCCATATAGCTCGTTCAATAGCTCATCGATCACCGGAATTGGGAATGTGTCTAGTACAAATCCCCTATTCAAAGTCCTCTAATTCACACAGAATCTCCAATTCCCATCCTTCTTCTTTACCAGGAGAACTGGACTAGAAAAAGGGCTAACTCTTGGTCTGATGATCCCCGCCTCCAGCATTTTCTGGATCAGCTTCTCAATCTCATCTTTCTGAATCTATATGGGTAACGGTAGGGGCGGATGCTGATTGTTGTCTCCCCTTCCTTCAAGGTAATGGTATGCTCCAACTCCCTCTGCGGCGATAAACCCTGGGGAGATTGAAAAATCTCGCTGAACTGGTGTATGAGTGGTTGCAGTGAAGAGGGAACAATGCCTTCTTCCTCTATTCTGACCCCTTCCAGGCGGTGCAACTCCACCATGTAGCCTCCCCCCACCTCTTGAATGGTTATGATTAGGGATTTGAGAGAAACCCCAGCCTTGATCAGTCCAGCATCACCCTGAATCATCCTTCTTCTTCCCCCCCTTCACCAGTTCCATCCTCAATGTATCCCAATTGATCTTGGTCTCCCCCAATGTCTGCAGGCACTTTATCCCTTGGATGACGTCAGTACTCCCCAATTCAAAGAGAAAGAAGCACTCCCTCATCTGGATCCCCTGAATCTTCAGCACCACCCATCTACAAACTTCTCTACCCATTTCTATCTTTCCCATGCCCATCATCACCCCATAGCCTCCGATATCCACTAACTCCATCCCAAGCAGCTCAACGATCTGGGTGGAAATGAAATTGTGGGTTGCCCTACTATCTATCAACACCACCACCTATCGATCAGCTATCTCTCCTTTCACTTTCATAGTGTGAATCATAGTGAATCCCACTACATAGTTAAAAGACACTTTTTTCACATCCAGATGCAACTTCTCCTCCTCCTTTTCAGACCTGCTCTCAGCTCCCTCGTCGTCTTCCTTGTGTTCACAGACAAGGAGAACCTGAAGAGTTCGGTCCTTGCACTTATGCCCCGGCATGTACTTCTCATCACATCTGAAGCACAACCCCTTTGCCCTCTTATCCTGCATCTCCTTCTCCATCAGCTTTTTGAATTGTCCCCCGTTTCCCCCTCCTCCAGTTTTCTCCTTTGGAGCTTCCTTCAGACTCTCTGGTGCTGCCCCTTTTAACGGTAAAAAGGTGATAGTCATCCTGTATGATCCCCCTGGATAGTTCCCTCGAGCCCCTATTTCTGATTTCTTCTGATCTTCTACCAACTGCGCCAACTCCATATCCTTCCCTAGGTTCCTCGGCTCCAGCACCCTGATTGCTGTGCGTATCTCAGGTTTAAGTCCCTTCATGAAGTTCCCTTCCAGGGCTGACTCTGAAATATGATCTAATCTGCTAGACAAGTACTCAAACCTATCCCGATAATCTGCCACAGTCCCCTCCTAAGTTAAGGCAAAGAATTGCTCATTGAAGTCTCCTCCCCCATCGGCTCTGAAACACTCTAATAAGCAATCCTTGAACTCTCTCCAACTCCGGATGGGCTCCCTCCTATCATGCCATTGATACCATGCCAAGGCTTTTCCTTCCAAACACAATCCCACAGCAGTCAGCTTCTCTTCCCCAATCACCCCGTTGAATGCAAAATAACGCTCCACCTTGTAGATCCAGCCATGGCTGTCTTCACCCTCAAAGACGAACATCTTTAGCTTCCTCATCCGTGGGTCTCCCCCGTTTCCCCTGAATCGTCCATAACCTCCCATTTCTCGAAAAGGAGGTGCTCCCCAACTGTCACGATCTTCCCTCTGGCGATTATACCCAAACCCTTCGTCATATTCCCCTCTTCTCCCTTTAAAATCAGCACCTCGGTGATGAAATTCTTCCCTTCTCTCGACGAAATCAGCACCCCTTCGGTCATTTCCCAAACTCATCTCCTCTCTAGAAAGTGGCTCTAGAGGTGGCATGTCGCCCTCTCCCTCAACGATCTTCACTTCCGGATTTCTCCTCCCCCTAAACGGGTTTGGTTCCCTACCACGCCATGGCCTCCGGTGGTCTCCCTTGCTTCCGATGTCGTAGGATTGGTCTTCAACTCCAGCAATTTCTTCAACATCTCTTCCATCACCGTGAATTTTCCTTCTATCATTTCATTGTTGGAAGTGATTTGGTTTTAAAAATCAAAGAATTGTCCTTCAAAATATGATTTTAATTGATCGATCTCGCCTTCCAAGACTTCTACTTTCTTCTCGGCCATCTCTCTTCCCAAGAATCACAAAGATCTTCCGGTTGAAAAAAAATCTGCTGAAATTTTAGAATTTCAGCTGTCGATGGTCCCAAATCGATGCTCTGATACCAATTTGATAGGAAATACATGAGTTTGAGTTCGCAAGCAACCCTAACCAAAATCGGTGATCAAATAGCAAAAATACTGCTTCCCGCAGCTGGAAAACAACACAGATCTGCTGTCCACAGCAGAAAAAACAGCAATTCCAAGGGAAATATGAGTGAAAACTCAACAATAGACTTGTATTCCACTAGAAGATGAAATAAAATAACAACGATACAATTGTTCTTCAATTCGAGGGGAAGAACAACTCTCCAAATCTCCGGCAACGCCAAGAGCCCAAAGCACAAGAACTCTAGATCTTAAATAAAATTCAA